ACGGCTTAGACGACAGCTTGACCCTGTTGCCGTCTGCCTCTCTTTTCTAACAAAGTCGCATTGCTGAGGCTTAGCTCGAACGGTTGCCGCGAGTGCCGGTTGATACTCTGCTTTGCGGCTGCCGCGACGTTCGCACTATGGGTGCCATAGCCCTGTTGTCGAGACTGAGGCGCCTGTCTAGCTTGAGCCGCGTGACTGGGGGCTCCCAAGTTCGTTGACCGTAATTTGGCTTCCATAGCTGCAACATCTCCCGCGTGCTGAGAGGCTTTGGGGATCTTCGCCGGAGGGTAGGCGTCGTTCTGGACGCGTTGTAATGTGATGTCATCTTCTTCATCGTCGTTGTCCTCGTTCAGGGGGTTAAGAGCCGACTGGAACCCGGTGGTCGGATTGGCGCCCCGATATCCTTGTCGGAAATTCTTGCGCCGTTTACCTTCCTCTTCTTGCCGATGTACCGCGTAGCCGACATCGAACACCTCACGCAGGTTGATCGCGCCAGGGGACCGGAAATCCATGGGGCGATCTAAACCGGCGGAAGCCGGACCCAGTAACCGGGCACTTACAGGCGCGTAGGGTGCCTGATCGGCTGCTTGAGCATCCAGGGGCTGCTGCTTGGTTTGACGACTAGCGAGTGGTGTGGCAAGAGGGGGCGCATCATCAGCTGCTTTGGTCGCTTCATCGGTCTGACGGATCCACGGATGAGCGAGGAACTGCTTGATACTATACCGCTTCTCGGGGTCGACGGTCAGAAGATGCGAGATGAGATCCTGAGCCGATTTGGAGATGTCATCCCACCATGGCGACAAGAAGGTGTACTGGCCCCGCGCAACCTTCTCGGTGAGAACCTGGATGCTTTCGTCGTAGAACGGAGGAAAACCACATAGGAGAGTGTAGAGCACACAGCCAAGGGCCCACATGTCGACGCTCTTCGAATACCGTTCGTCCTTGACGATCTCGGGCGCCGTGTAGCCGACGGTGCCACAGGGGGTCATAGTCTGGCTATCCCAGATGACTTTGGACAAACCAAAGTCGGCAATTTTGATCGTGCCTATCCCACCCGATCCAACGCCGGGAATGAATTCGCCTTCATCCACCTTCTCCTCATCTCCAGGCTGGACAGGCCTTGGGTTCTTACTCGGCACGAAGGGTATGGGGTAGAACAAGAGGTTTTCTGGCTTGATATCACTAGAAAACGACATGATCAGTTACTAGTTGTCTCAAATATATATATAATATAACAGTTTGATGGACCGTACCGGTGAACAACACCTGAAGTCTCATGGAGATACTCGATGGCTTTGGCGACCTGGACGATGACGTGACGGCTGAGGTCTTCACTGAAATAGGTCAAGCGCACAATCTGATGAAACAGCTCGCCCCCTGGACACAGTTCTAGTACGATATAATAGTACTGGCGCGACTCGGAGAATTCGATCAGTTTGACAATGTTGGGGTGATCGAGCTGTCGCATGATCTGGACCTCTTTCAAGATGTTCGCGCGCTATAACAAGTATTAGCATATTGCACAACCGATCGTTCCGAGGTTGTGAGATCAAAGGAAGGAAGGTGTAAAGGGAAGAGGCCATGGTAAAGGAAAAGGAAAGAAAGGTGCTGTGAGTAGGATTTGAGGAAGGAGATAGGAATAATGATGTGTGGGTTGCGCACCTCCGCGGCTTTTGGCTTCTTCCTGAAATCCGGATGAAGATGGGCGTCATGCTAAAAGAAAAAGAGAGATTGGCGAAATGTCTTTTGAATAGGAGCGATGGACCATAGAGCAAAGCGCAAACTCAAGAAACAACGAATAACGGAAAAAGCCAAAAAGCAACCACACGCTAGAAGAAAGGAAAAAGTTTCAGGGCCGACTCCCTACCTGATGGCTGTTCATTTCGAATTTCCGCACAACTTTGATGGCAACCTCATCATACTCGCCCGTGGTATCCTTTGCACGGTAAACGTTGCTAAAGGCACCATCGCCCATCTTCTCCAGTAAGATATACCGCTCGAGACCAGGATATTTAGGCATTTTTGTCCTGCTACTCCGTTCCTCTGCGACAATCTGTTCGATCTCGGCAGTTCTGGCTTGCTTGTTTTCGGGAGACTTTTGGGGTTGAGACTGCGGGGGTTCCGATTGTTGCTGATGAGTGTGCGCATGACCCATTTTGCTATCGATGGCATCGAGATTTCCAGCAGCGGCAGGATATGAGCCCTGTGGTTGACGTTGTTGTTCTGCGTGAATAGGAGAAACGTCGGTGGTGGGTTCGGCGTGGGGAGTGACAAGGCGAGCCTGCTTGCCATGACGTATGAAATTTTTGAGATTCTGTATGGTACTCATGGTGGCGGATTGGAGTGGGAAGAGCACAACAATGAGCGGAAAGGGATAAGAAGGGGAGGAAGAGAGGAAAAAAGAGAGAGAGAGAGAGAGGAAGGAAAGAGGAAGAGGAAGAGGTAAGGAGAAAGATGAGAGTTAGATAGGATAAGGTAAGGTAAGGTAAGGTGGGAGCGATGACGATGATGATGATGATGATGCTGATAAATAGTCGCTTTTTCTGTCTTGGTCTTTGGTTAGTGTTTACCCCGCCACAATGGGATTTTTTTTTTTTCTTTCGATTGATTTGAGGAAGTGGATCGAGAGAAACACAACCAGCAATAGTTACTGAGATAAAGAAGACTCGATAATTAAGAACGAAGAAAGTAGAACCCCAAGAGAAGTGAGTTGGTTGGAAGAGGAGACTTGGAAGGTCAGAAATATGGGAGTGGGAAAGGGGGGAAAGGGCAACACTAGGTAATATTGATATGAAAGTGAATTTATCACAATCTCAATAATAACGAAGAAGAACTTTACTTTCTCCCCAAATATCTAAATAGAAGGTAAGGTAGTTTAATTACTCTGTAGCTAACAAGTGGGTAGTTATCTATCTAAAAGATCATTATGTGACATAAAGGTGGGGTGTTGGAGGGAACTTGACAGGATCACCTTAGAAGTCAGTGGATTCTGGGGATTCTTGGGAATTGGGAATTGGGAATTGGGAATTGGGAATTGGGCATTGCAATTTGGGGATCGGAACTCATCGTCATCATCGTCATCATGAGTTACTCTTTGAGGCATTATATTGATTGCTCTGTGTCTCTCTTTACTCTGCACACTTCAAAATGAGGCGTCGTATGACGTCGAGGGATCTTCGGGCTCCCCGATGTCATGGCTTCACAACTCCTACTATTACTAGCAATAGATAGTATCCATGAGCATTACTGCAGCTATATAGATCTGGAGTAATGAGGGTTATCGCCAATAGATGTCTTCTATCCATTATTATCGATCTATCTATCCAAAGCTTTCTCTCAGAGCCGCCATGTTGTTTCACCAGACCAGAAGGTTAAAGAAACATCGACAGTTCGGTTCCAGAGGCTGAAACTCTTTAATACACTCTTGCTTTAGCTTAGTTTGGACTGTTCTACCTCTCTAATAGTTGTTTTAGTTATTATGGTTGTTATCAAACTTATTAGCAGTGGAGTTCTCATCGTCATTAATCGTCATTGCCACAATGTCTTTTCCCTCCATACCTCTCTCACTCTGCAAGGTACTACAAAAGTCTGGTACTATGAAGCACTTCCAAGAAGTGGCCTTGGCTTTCTTAAGGATCCCATGGATTGCATCCGGTTTCATGGCTTCAGCTACTTGACTTTTCTTTTGCCTTCGCTTTGCCTTCGGTATTTTGCTTGTTTGCCCCGTTTGGTCCTTGTTTTGGACTGCAACTCTGCAAGGCTGCAACAAGTATTAGATGGTAGTAGCAACACAATCCTGTCACTATGAATGAAATCACCCTTTATCTACATTGATGATATATTTGCTCATCAAGATGAGAAATATCCTCTTAAATCTTCAAAGATCTTTCGTGTTCTAAGAAGAAGAAGAAGAAGAAGTTCGCAGGTGATTGATATATTATTGATACCCTGCATTGTGACACAGGATAAGTTTCAGGCATCACAAATTGTGGATGGCTCTCCTACTATTATCTATCACTTTTTTCAAAGCACTCTAAGTATTATCGTTATTATTAGTATGGATTCACAGAATAATGAATAAAGAACAGATCTCATGAAAGAAGAAGAGTGCAGACGATGCATATCAATGCAGGCACTGAAAGGAAGACCATTGGTCCAATTACTTCTGTAGAGACTAAGGTCGTAAAGTATCCTTAAGTGGGAATCCCCTCTTTTTCTCCTCTATCTACCAAATCTTCACACTCGCGCCTAGATCCTCCAAAATTGTATATCTCAGGAGGACATTCGGTTGCATCTCACTTGGCCACATTCATGGTCAAACCCACATTCCAGCTCCGCAACGTGGAATGAGTCTATCGATCAACCTTATCCTTGAGCCCGCTCTGTTGCCTTGTATCTGCATCACTCGGCATCTTCCACGTCTCCCCTCATGTCTGTCGCCCTTGCCTGACACTTGCTGATTCCTAGCCGCGTCAAAGTAGATGCACAGTCATCGCATCTTATTTTTATCCCCATCTTATTATTCGCTGGCCCCTGATTTCTGACTTTGATTGCTTGGTGTGTTGGGTTTGGGATCATCGGCTGTTGTTGGCTACACCCGCTGGCCAACATTGCTTGGACCGTTACGCCTGCGTGTCTGCTCCCTTGCAGCCTCTTCGTTTCGTGGCGCGTCCGGCTTTCTCTTCGCTTTCTCTGAGCATATTGCTTTGCTCGCTTGGCGACAAAAACCAAAAAGAGGAAAAAGCAAATAAAGGGCAAACTAATCAGCCAGTTATCTCCTTCACACCTGTCAGGCCTAGACGGTTCCACTGATACTGTCCCTTCTCCCTTCGCGCCTCTCTTCGCTATGTGGCCTCCGTTTATCACCTTACCTGCCACCTCTATCTGAATCATCTAGTGACATGTCCTTTGTAATCATCGCTCACAGTGAAGCTGTCGACCCACGGTGACAATATCGCTTCAGCTGGTCGTGGCAATTTGCGGTGAATTCGAGGTTCAAGATGCCTGGCGTTGAAACCACTGGTGCCTCTGTGAATTCCCCCGAGTCGGCTCTCGAACGGCCACTCTTCAGATCTTGCAAGTTCCTGCCTCGGAGAGCAGAAGTGTCCTCGGATCCTGATCTCGCGCACTCAGCCTCCTCAAACCATGGCGGCCATACTTCCGGAGCAGTCCCCATCGCTACTGCCCCGGCTCTTCCTTTGACTCCACCCAGCGCGGGCCACGAGGAAGCATCGTCAAATGACGCGTCAGGCATGCAAAAGACCGCCTCTTCGCATTCTGTCAACTATATCCATGGTGCGATGACGCCGACCAAACCGTCCCATCCCCCCACTCCGGAGACAACGCCGCCTCGCATAACTTCATCGACATATCGACCAAGTCTCAGTCAGTTTGGGCACACGTCCGCGTCCTCTAGAGCCGAGTCTTTCCAGACCGCCCGCGAGATGATTTCAGATGGCGAGACAGTGACCCCACGTCGTTCGACCCAGTCATTGCACCATCAGAAAAAGCGCAGACCCTATAAGCAGAAATCATCTCAGAACGAGAGTCCACATGGTTCCAGTGATGCCAGTTTCGGAGATGATTGGTCTACTCCAGTCCAGTCCGACGAGACGCTGAGGCCCACCAGAGTCGAATCGTACGATGGTTGCGACGAGGGACGAGCGCCATCCGGTGATCGTCGTCCAAGAATCCAAACAGAGAAATCCCCCGCCAGATCTGCCTTGGATGGGAACGATGAGGATCTCCCTCCACTACGTGGATGGAAGCTACGTGACCGGGTCAAAGATGCTCAAATCAGCATGACAAGCCCTTCCCTTGAACAATTTCGTGAGGAGATAGGGTGGCCCCCCGCTGAAGAGGAGTTCCGGCGATATTCCGGTGTGTCGACGTCGTCGACAATCGAAGCTATGATCATTGACGCTCCGCGACCGGCCAACCGAAGACTGCGACATACGGGAAAGAGGCAGTCTCTACGCTCCGCCAGCTCGCCCGTGACCAAGTCGGCACGTACATCGCTTGTTTCCAATCCAGACTCCCAGCACCGCCTAGTCCATAAAGATGCTCGGATCACAGAACAAGTTCGCAAGAGCATTGCTTCTGAAACCTCTGTTCCAGCCAGTGCCACAGCGGGCGGTCCTCCTCGAAATATTGAGGTTGTCCCTGTAGTCGTGATTCCCGAGCGACGTTCTTCTCTTCGTTCTTCTCAATCTGACAGTAGGAATCCATCCAAGTCTGGTTCCCGGCGATCCAGTCAGCGACCTGAGTCTGCGCGGAAGAGTAGACCGCCATCTCTCGACCTTACCCGTCAGAAGAAGCGGACATTTTCCGACTCGATCGCTACTGCTACTCCAGCGTCAGATCCCAGAGGTCGCAACATTGGTCGGCCGGTGATTCCTCCTCGCAGTTCGTCGTTGTCGGCGCCCACAAGTAGAGACAGCTCACGGCGCCCGTCCTTCGCCTCCGAGAGCCTTCAAAACCAGGACATTCTCAAGGATCGTGAAATGGATAAGGCCCCTATTGAACAGCCGGAACCAAAGCTCGACAATCATACCTTGAATGCCGGTCGCTGGGACGTCACTGATACTCCGAAGGCACAATCCATCTGGATCGGCATCGAAGATATGACTCACCTACGTCCACCTTCCATTCTCTTCACGCCAGCCTCAGTTGCATCATCGTCGCCAGGGTTGATTGAAATCAAGGAGGCGAGGACGGTTACTTTCTTTCCTCACAATAATGAATCTCTCCTACTTGTTGACCAGCCTGTGCGAGCTGCACTCGATCCCCCGGCGCCTCAGCCGGATGATTGTCAACGAAGGAGGGACTCACGAACGCCCGAGAACCTTCTGCCTCAGGATTCGAGCCATGTCGATTCACCTTTGAGGAACCCTCGCCCGCCACCGAAACCTCCGGTCCCTAGCGTCATCCCGCCGACTCCTGAAGATGAGGCCAACCGGCAGCTGAGGGTGTCGGATGATAGGGACGAGTCGAATGGTAATAATCCACGGCGGTTTGGCTCACTCCGACGCAGGGTGGTTCGCCCTCGATCGGATTCATTTGATCGTTTCGTCCGATCGCTGTCCGTAACCTCAGCGAAAAATCGCAAAGCTGGCAGAGATATCGACAGCCGGCTTCATCCATTCTGGCGCCCACGTCGGTTCTGGGACGACTCGCCAGAGTCGGAAGAACCTCCTCAGCAAGCCGCCCATACGGAGTCCGACCACATCATAAGCAACTCGTTGGGAATGCCTCAGCCACGGGTTGTGTTCGACGGGCCTTCCCTCGCTCGTCGCAGCCCGTTGCAGGGCACGAATCCCCGTCGCCACCCCAAGAGGAGCAGTGCTCTGGTAGGCGCCACCATGTTTAGCCCCGAAGCGCTTCGCTCTCAGACCTCTCTCCATCGGCGTCGCATGCTCTCCTTGTCATGGTGGAGGCTGCGCCTTCGACTGGGCCCCGTGCGCAACCTCCGCAGACGCCTGAGGCGTTCGCTTCAGCAGCGGGAAGAAGCAAAGCGCGAGGCACGAAGGGAAAAGCTGAAGCAGAAAATCGGCGAAGCCGTGTTGGTGGGCTCTAGCATGCAGGCTCGCGACCTTCTTCACCGACCCTGAACGCTATGTTATGATTTGCCATGATTTCATTTCTCTGATAGATTCCTATGGGATGCACTCTTGTGATATGAATGATGTCCATGATTTGCTTATTTGCATACTTTTTCCATGCCTTTATGCTGCTGCAGTGTTTTGACTACTTTGCATGACATTTACGACTTACGATATGACGACGAGAACGAGCCGGCATGAGATTTGTCTAGGGTTCACGTGCATTTGCTTTTTGTTCTGTAAGTTCATTGATATAGCCATATGTGTACTGGTTGTACTACTACTATACGATAACAAAATCAATCCAACCTACGACGGTGTATCATCTCCTCTGCCTCCCTAATCCCCCCATTCTCCCTCGCACAGCCATCTGCCCAAACTCCGCCTCGCGCTCCCTCCGCCGCCTCCTCTCTTCCTCCCCTTCCTCCCGCTCAGCACTTGGAACCCTCGACGCGTCCCTCCCTGCGGCCTTCATCCGCTCCCACACGCCGGGATCAAGGAACGGCTGCGGCGGCTGCGACAGATCCATCTCGACAGTATGCGCTTTTGATCGGTCTGTAGGTCGTGTAGGTGTAGCTATCGAAGATAACGAAGGCTTGATGGTGATGCTGGCGGGACGGGCGTTGGGGGTTATTGTTCGGGGCACGGGGCTGGGCTTCGTGAGGGGTCGTTTGGAGGCGATGAGGAGGGAGGAAGCGGGGCGGTGGGATTGGTAGGAGGCTGTCCCTGTCCCTGTCCTTGTTGTTGATCTGCTTCCGGCTGACATTGTATACCTTTGTACCTCTAGAAATTGTATTCGATCGATCTGTATTGATGGGTTGATTGATACCTGGGCTACGAGGTGATCAACGGAGGTGAAGCTAGACCAGATGACATAATCAGTCTTGTGTCTATTATCTCATCATTGCTGGATAGGATACTAATAATGATAAGCAAGCAACCCACTCATATCCGTGGCAGTCATCAATCGCAGTAAATCAGACATAAAAAGTATGGCATGGCGTACCATAGCTAAACATAAAAGACATAAAAGCCATAGAAGAACCCAACTCCTTTGCTCCGGACCAAAATGAGACTGCGTCAACGTGGTATATGTATGATACAACTCGACATGTTCGCGTGAGATAACTGATGAATACGCCGCGGTCAGGTACTTCAGGCGATAGTTTGTGGCTCCATCCCTGACATTGCGGAGTAGGAGTACGGGAGATCGACGAGGCCGTCCAGGAGCCAGTTCAAAGGATCAAAGACCTCGTAGTTGGGCTCGAGGAATCCACTGGGGAGATTGGCCGCTCCGCTGGCGGGGGCAACTCCCAGACTGCCTTGTGCGATCATGGTAGCGGGCGCGAGACTTGGGTCAGCCGGGAGGCCGGGTGTGGAGGACGAGGTGCGCCCTGCGGGCCCTGCGGTTGACGACGCTGAAGATTCCGCGTTCGAGTCGGGATTTGTCGGGTTCTTGAGGTAAGCTGGAGTAAAAGGGGAGTATTAGTTCGGGGTCCATACTACTGCAAAGACGGTCAAGCGTACCTTCAATATTGCGGCCTTTGGTCTGTGCGTCTTCTCGCCATCGCCAGACAGAATCAAACAAAAGCGACATGCTCATGCGGCAGCGGACCTTGAGCATCAAGGTATCATCCACCTCGGCACTAATAGCGGATGTTTTCTGTTGCTGGGTACTGCCCATTCGCCACATTTGGGCCAAGACTTCCGCCAACCGTTCGGGGAGGTCGTTGCTGGACACCGATACACCCCGAATCGCCCAGATGGTTCGGTTGAAAAGAGTCTTGGTGTAGTCCATATCTATATGCGCCGCAAAGAAACTCTTGCAGAGCTTGAGGAGTGTGCAGGCTCCAGCAACCATCATCTGGTACACGTAGTAGGGCGTATAGGATAGAACTGGGCCAACATCCGTCTCCAGAGTCATAGCTGCCTCGAGGAACGACGTGGTTGCGACGTAGAGAGACAGAAGACGTTCTCGATAGTCTTTGGCTCGAGGATCGTCAAAGAATGCCGACAGGTGAAGATGGAGATTGGCAGCACGCAGAAAGAGGTCGGTTATAGCTGATCCACATTAGTGACGTTTCACCTGTCGGCACCGGCTGGGAGCGCTTACCGTCAGTCCTTGACTTGACTTGGTCCTCGAGTTCATCAAAATCCCGCGACAGAAAAGATATCAGCGTAGATCTCTCTTGGTCACTGCATAGGCCAACAGGGTCCCGCCGGTTGGTGTAGAGCGTCTTCGTGACCTTGTCGCAGAAGATTTCAATATCGAGTCTGCGTCTAATATCCTCGGGCAACTTGAAATTCGGATCCACCGACCCGCTCGCTGATAGCGTCCAGTCGTACAGAGTAGATGGTGGCTGGCCATATCCCGTTGCAACACTAGAGCCCATGAGCGCCGAGGTCAATGAAAGTAGAAAGATACGAACATACCGCTGTGCGACAACATTACAGATGGCCCACGTCCTCACCTTGTCCCTGAGCTCCTCCTCGATGAGTTCTACTCGAAACTTGCTAAAGTCCTGGGTATGGGACGGTCGGTGCAAGCCAAGCTGCATGGCAACTTGCATCATCATACCACATAACATAAATGTAGGATCCGTCGAGGTACTGCTGGTAGGGAATGGCCATGAACAGAGCAGACAAAGTGCCTTTACAACGTGGTAGCTCTGGGGAATATCCGCCAACGTACTCCATACCAGTCGTGTGACTGGGCCAGCCAGCGAGTTGAGCAGATGGGTATCTGTCTGGTACCGCCGAGCTCCAACGCTGATGATAGTCCAGAACAGTAATGGTGATACGCTGTAGTAATCATCCGGCGAACGTTGTCGGTCAAGGAACGGAAGAAAAGGATGATAGAACATGAAAAACCTGTTCTGGTAAGAACGATGCAAGAAACTCACTGTTGGGGTAAGCGGGACTCACAGGTCAAATAGCTCGGTCACTTTCTCCGGCGCAACCACCACGTCTTCAATCCGCTTGAACAGATTCCCATTTCTCATGTAGTTTGAGCCTTCAAAGCCGGAGCGCAAGTCAAGTAGGGATGCAACAGCCTCGTGAGAGCCCATGTACTGATCGGATGATATGGCGGACGGTGTGTGATATACACCCGCAGGGCTGACATGACTCGACTCTTGTTTCGGAGTGACATGTGCGGAGTGAAGGGAAGGCGCATGTTGCTGAGGGGTCATGGCAGCAGGGTTGGCTTGCACGTTGGCAATCTGCTTTCGTAACTCGATAATCTCCCGTTCCATCTCGGCATTCCGACTCCTCTTGCCAACGCGTTTGAAGTTGGACTCGATCTTGCACTCGAGCTTCAAGCGACGGCATCGTGAACAATCTGTCCATGGGTCTTGAACCACATCACATCGAAGCTATAGAATGAACCTCCTGGTCAGCATGGACTCCTTGAGGATTGAACAGCGCCAGCGACGGCAAGCGACAATCTTACCTTTTGTTGTCGACATTCGTTGCACGCTCGCTTCACAGGCTGCCTCTTCTTCTCCTCCCGCTGGTCATTGTCATCGACATCATCGACACTGCCAGGGGAGCTTTCCAGCCCCGCCATGGCGACAGTGCGCTTTTTGACTTGTCCCAAACCATCGGGACCGACAGCGGGAGAAGCAGACGAATGGCCGGTACCTCCCATTACGGGGCCGGCAGCAGCAGAAGCATTATTAGTATTCCGTGCACTTGGCTCCAGAATGTCCCCTTGCGCACCCCCGCCTCCGATTCCGCTCGACGATCCTCCGATTGACGCCAGGCTGGGAACGTTGACGATTACTGGACACGCGGCAGCCGATAAAGCTTGGGCGAAGAAAAATTACTTTCCCCGGACTGGCTGTCGCGCGCAAGGTCTTTTGACCAGGAAGAAGGATCCAGCGCCAGGAATAAATGCAAGAAAAAATTGATATAAACAAGTCTTTTCCTGAAGAAGATAATTTCAATCAGAAAATTCAAGTACCCAGCCAGTTGACTCTTCGTGCGACTCGATAGACCCCTCAGCAGTGGATGAGTAACAAGCGGGGGAGAGACGAGAGACTGTCCGATCTCGCACCGACTCACGTGTTGGATCCACGTGACTAAGACCTACCACCACTGTGTACTCCGTAGAACAACTGGATATGGGTCTAGGACGCTCCTAACGTCGAATTAGTTGTATTGAGCAGTGCGTCTTTGGTGACTTCTGTGGTTGTTGGTATACTTCATTATGAAGCCTACCATAGCCACCATGTGAAGGGTATATTCGGAGACTCAACCGGGAGTTGATGGCTGCCTGAAGGCGCTAAGGCATCTAACATAGAGATGGAGTCTAGCCAATTACCATGAAAGCTCTCGACATCTGCAACGTATCTACACTGTTCTTACTAGTTAATGAGATTAATTGCTATGCGGAGACCCCAATGTGTTGGCTTCTAGAATTCTTCCACGGGTCACCGTGTCAGACTCCTCACCGGTGCCGATGGTTCAGCGCTCAGCTAAGCCCGACTAAGCCTCCGAAGTCTGATTGATGACCATCCAATAATGATTTCTTGTTTGGACCCTTGATATAGGTCCAGCATATGATTGAACTGATCCGAGGGGGCTGTGTCTCGCCAACTCGTTGCCCCAGACAGCCCTCGCCCTGCACTGCCTTGCCCGGTGCTCAGGAGTACCCACTAGGTACTTCAGTAGGCTGGTCAAGATAACAGGAGCTGTCTGATACCGAAGAGCTTCACACCTTGGAGCGCTGCAGTCCTATGACCGGATCAGGTATTTCATGATCTTTATCGTTTCTGAACTGAGGTTCTTGATGGCTTAGCCTTAGTGATGATGTCGTTGACCTGTACCCGAAACCTGGTGAAGTAGTCCCGAGTAACATTTAAAGAGCTCACTCCACTCCCTGCAAAGATATCTCTTCCTTAGCAAGTTTGATGACTCTAATTCGCATATATCCGCCAACATGACTATCACTGAAGAGCTCGTCAAAGGTAAGGCTGCAGAGGATTCTGATCGACCATCTTCCGAGCAACCACCCGGCTATGACCAGATTGACGAGCAACCATCAACAATCCCACCGCTGAATCTGTCGTACAATGCCGGGCTCCCCATGTCAACAACCGTCACCAGGGACCAGTGTGTCGCTCATCTCAAATTCATCGCGGCGCTAGCGGACCTGCGTGATAGTGTGGCCGGGAACGATGGCCTCTTCGGCCTCCATGACCCGCCACAGACCGAGTTCCCTGACCACGTCGATGAGGTTCGGGCTCGCATGAGAGAAAAGAGATGGGCTGTCTATACGGCTAGAGCAGTTGATCGTTACACGAAGTGGTGGGAGACGTGCGTCCCAAGCAGCAGGCCATGCGCTCGCCTTAAGGACCTGGAGCATGAGAGCTATGATCACATTACCCAAGGCAACCACCTGCTATCTTGGTCCAAGGATTCGCTGCCCCCTTTAGGTGAGTGATCGATACATAGTTTTCTCATATACCTATTTTCCATCAGATTGGTAGTGGCGTCGAGTAGTGCTAACAGGAGCAGATGTCCTCA